GGTATGTGCCCTGACCAGAAAGCAAAACCGTGACCTTCTGGTGAACGGGGATGATGCCCCAACCATCTGACCCACCCAGCCAGGACCTTATTATTACTGTTTTAATGATTCTTCAAGTTAGGTGCCACTAGTGATCCAAATATTTGAAACTAAAAGAGTGACCCTTGTCACCTAGTCTTGGGGGTTGTGTGTCAAATGGCCTCCCACCTTCCTTCAACCCCCCCCTGAAGTTAGTGGCTGGGACAAAACATCTGTAACCCCGGTTTGGAAATGTTTCATGGTGTGGCCACCGCTCCCCCCCAGCCAGCGGCCCTGCCCTCAGCCCCAGGGCCTCACGGGGAGACAGCATCCAGCTGGGTCCTTTCGGTTTCTTTGCAGCAAACATGTCGCTCATGAAATTCCAGACCACTGCACCCTCCGTTCCTGCGAGGACCACTTTCCACCTTCCTTGTTGCTTCCAAATGCCGAGGCTTCCTTCAGTGACAGGTGTGAATGACGACTAGCAAGGGACAAGCGAGATGACCAAGAGGCCAGGTGGCTGGGGAGTAGGTGGGACTGATGGTGACACCACTGTGCCACCATTGCGGTTCCTGGGGGACCAGACTGTCACAAGCATCTTTTTGCAATATAGTCAGTCTTTCCTCTAAGTCAACAGGGCCACTGCTCAGCTGGCCGCCTGCTGAGCAGCCCGGCGCCAAGGAGGAGACCAGAGCCACACTCGGTAACTGTGCTGTTCACTCAGCTTTTATTGAATGCAGGGTCACTCAGAGTAGACCATCAACGTACATCACTATCCTCCTCGCACGCTAACAATCTAAGAGGAATGCAACACACACACAGTAATCAGTGGGAGATAACGAACCCGAGTCCCAGGGTCTCGGTCTGCAGGTCTGGGAGACAGACGGTGGGCACGGCAGTTGTCCGCGTCCTGCAGGGAAGGATCTCCGGAGCCAGGTGGGCAGCGGGGCAGGAGAAGTCCTCAGTCCAGCAGGCAGAACCTCTGGTGGCCAATGCCAAGGGAGACTGGCGTGGCAGGGAGCTGCACTCTGGTGTGTGGAGCCCGGCTGTCTCAGCCCTGGTCTGGACCTGCCGCAGTTCCACCTTGAGAGTGGTGCACTCCACCCTTCTGGGTCCTTTCCGTAAATGTCTTGGCACCCATGATGCCAACTGTGGGATTTGCTCAGGAGCTTATGGGTGGTACACGCCTGTTCTGCTTGAAACCCCCACTGGCCGGTGTAGAATTTCCCCAGGAGCCCGCTGTGGGTGGTCCCGCTGACACAGCTCCTCTGACCACGTGTGCCAATATCGTAGGTGTGTCTCCTTGCCACACATTTCTGCTTCGACCACGTGGGCAGACCTGTCTCCCTGCCACAAGCATTTACTCTGACTTGGGGAATTTTCCTCTGGAAACAAAGTGTCATGACTGACAAACAGCCATTGCAGTTAGCACAAGTGACTCCACTTTGTTTTATATACTTTATGCTGTCTTGATCCGACCAGCGCCATTTTACTGGTCCTGCCCTTCACACAGACCGACTCCACCGCCTCGGAAAGTATGGATCAAGATTCCTACGAGGATTCTAAGGTCACTGCAACGCAGGAGCAGCAGCAGGCCAAGCAAACTGGACTGAAAAGTTCAAGGTCATGGTTGCAATTAAATACAACTTCTCAGAAACAGTCTGGCCCAGGGCTAAAATACACGGAAGCTTACTGCTGGAATGTAAGCCTTTGGAACAGTTTCTTGCGAGAGGACAGCAGGCACTGGAGTGCCTCGGCTGCCTCTGCGCCCCATCTGGGACAGCTCTGGCCTTGTCCCCTCTGCGCCCCAGAGCAGGCCTCCTGGCACCGGGCTCCAGGTCCAGCCCCCCGACCTCACTCGAGATGCCCAGACAGTCTGCTTCCGTTACAGCATCAAATCCAGGAACAGTTTTCTCTCCTTTGTTGGTTCTTCAGCATCTGTAATCAGAGGCTCGCTACACCTGCAGTGACCTTCCCGTGTTCGGGAAAGATCCGGGTCCCACTCTCCGGAACCCTGGGTCCCCTGGCTCTGAAAGTGCCGCCCAGCCACCCCTGCCCCTCATCCCACTCTGCACTGATGCGATTCCTCCTCTCTCATCTGCGGGGGGCTGCTGCCACCGCTCCGACCGCTGCTCCAGGGGATGACAGCTCAGGAAGAGGGGAGGGCACCGGGCACCAGGGAGGGACTCTCCTTCCCTGGAGACCAGAGGATCAGCGAATAGAGGAGGGGAGGGGCCCCCTAGCTCTGTAAGCCTTTGGGAGCCAGATGGCACCCTGGGGCTGAGGCCAGCCTCAAAGCAAGAGCAAACTGCTGCAGACCTGTCGTCTGGCCAGCATGGCTCCGGTCACAAATCCTAGACAGTGGAAGTTTCCAAGAAGAAATGACTCCGGCAGGGTCTCCCTCCCTATGTAGATGGGGGGAACAGCGTGGGGTGGGGGTTGGGAGAAGGTGTCACTCTGGAGTGGGGTGGAGGGGCCCCTGAGGACGCAGCCTCCCTGGAGGTAGAGGAGCTCTGGCTCCCAGGCTGAGGGCCCACTCTCCTGCAGGAGGCCTGAGGCTGTTGGAGGGTTTCCTGTCCATGGGGAGCAGGGTGGGAAGGGAGTCCAGCTGTCACCGTCCTGCTGGAAGCTTCCTTGGTCAAGCAAGGGTGGCCGTGGGGCTTCGCCTTCACAAAGCAGGCTTGACTGACGGGGTCCCAGGATCGGTCAGCATACGCTCGGGGGCGGCCCATTCCCCCAAGGCCAGCTTCACAGCTTCATTCCTTCTGCTGTGCAAAGCCTGAGACCCCAAGGGTGGCTGGGAGACCCCATACCTTCCTGCAGTCCACATACCTTCCAGGCACATGGCACGACGTTGTTCGTGCCCGGCCGCTCTGGGCACACCCGGAGTGTGGAGTGGGGAGGAGCCACGCCCAGCCTCCCTCTCAGCATGCCCCCCACTCGCGGCCGGTCATTCCCTCCCCCCCAGCTGAGGGGTGCCCTCCCAGGGACTGGCGCCGAGTGGGCCTCCAGGGCACAGGGACACAGCCCTGACACGTGTATCACAAGTGTCTGCATTGTCACTTTCTGGACAAGACCCTCCCGGGTTCTTTTTTTTTTTTTTTTTATTGATTATGCCATTACAGTTGTTCTATTTCCCCCCCTTCATTCACCTTACCCCCTGTCCCCACCATTACCCCCCCTTTAGTTCATGACCATGTGTCTCAAGTCCTTTAGATTCTATATTTCCCATACTATTCTTGCCCCCCCATCTATTTTCTATCTACCGTCTATGCTACTTATTTTCTATACCTTCTCCCCCCTTCTCCTCCTCCCACTCCCCTGTTGCTAACCCTCCTTGAGATCTTCATTTCTATGGTTCCACTCCTGATCTAGCTGTCCTTTTAGTTTGCTTTTGTTTTAGGTGTGGTTGTTAATAACTGTGAGTTTGCTCTCCTTTCACTGTTCATGTTTCTTTAACTTCTTTTTCTTAGATAAGTCCCTTTAACATTTCATATAATAAGGGCTTGGTGATGATGAACTCCTTGAAATTGATCTTATTTGAGAAGCACTTTATCTGCCCTTCCATTCTAAATGAGAGCTTTGCTGGATAGAGCAATCTTGGCTGTAGGTCTTTGGATTTCATGACGTGGAATACCTCTTTCCAGCCCCTTCTTGCCTGTAAGGTCTCTTTTGAGAAATCCGCTGACAGTCTGATGGGAACTCCTTTGTAGGTGATTGTCCCCTTAGCTCTTGCTGCTTCTAGAATTCTCTCCTTCATTTTAATCTTGGCTAATGTAATTATGATGTGCCTTGGTGTGTTCCTTCTTGGGTCCAACTTCTTTGGGACTCTCTGAGCTTCCTGGATTTCCTGGAAGTCTATTTCCTTTGCCAGATTGGGGAAATTCTCCTTTATTATTTGTTCAAATAAGTTTTCCACTGGTGGCTGTTCTTCTTCCCCTTCTGGTACCCCTATAATTCGGATGTTGGAGCATTTAAAGATGTCCTGGAGGTTTCTAAGACTCTCCTCATTTCTCTGAATTCTTGCTTCTTGACTCTTTTCTGTTTGGCCATTATTTGCTTTCTTCTGCTCCAGTCCATTGATTTGAGTCCCAGTTTCCTTTTCATTGCTATCGGTGTCCTGTGCAATTCCATTCATTTCAATTAGTTTCGCCTCCATATGTTTCTCTAATTTGTAGCTATAATCAACTAGTTCTATGAGGATCCTGATCACCAGTGTTTTAAACTGTGCATCTGAGAGTTTTGCTATTTCTTCATCGCTTAGATCTATGGGCTCTGGGGCTTTGAGATCTTCTTGCGCCATTCTTGGTCTGTTTGGGGCCCTTTAAGTGTGAGAAGCGGCGCCTTGGACTCCCAGGTCGCTGGGTTGTGACGCTGTATATGGGGGCGTGGTCAGAGCGGGAAATGGCAACCCCTCTGCTGTTTCTCACCACTGGGTGAGGAGCAGACCCTTAGGTGGTTCACCAGGGCCGGGCCACTCAGAGTCGCTGGGTTATGACGCTGTATGTGGAGGCGGGGTCAGAGCGGGAAATGGTGGCGCTCTCCGCTGCCGCTCGCTGCGGGGACTGGCTGGGTCCCATCCAACCGCCCACTCCCTCGCTTGTCTATCCGCGCACAAATGCGCGACCACAGTCAACCCGCAGCCCTGCTCCCTCGCTGTTTCCCCGCGGTCGCTCGCTCGGTTGCTCACTAGGTCCAACCCTGCGCCTGGATTCCGTGCGCCTCAGTCCATCTGACCGAGTTTTCCTGTGCTACCCCGCTCCAACAGCTGCTGGTTTCACCCCTCTTACCGGTCAAGGTGAAGAATTTGTTGTTATCAGACTTCCGAAAAGTTCAATTTTCTGTGTTCTGGCTGTGTTTTCTGTTGCTAATATTTAGTTGTCTCTAAACTTGGTTGTGTGAGAAGGCACGGCACATCCACCTATGCCTCCGTCTTGGCGGACGTAGTGCCTCCCGGGTTCTGAGAGCCCACCCCATGCCAGGGACGCAAGACCAGCAGCCTGGCAGCGAAGCCGTGAAAGATGTGGGGGCTGAGCTGGCGGAGTACGGAGGCCTGCAGGGCCCTGGGGAGGCCTTCGCCCCGGAGACACAGGGTTGGGCTGCGTTTGGCTCCAGCAATTTGGCCGACATGTGCCTTGGCCCCTGACGACCCTTTCCCATGCGCCCCCACTTCGCAGCCCTCTGCTGGGACACCAGGAGACTTCGGCTGCCCTCCGTGTCACCACGCAGGCACTCTGCAGGTCCTTGCTGGCGAGCTCCCAGAAGGCAGCCGTGCCTAGGCTGCTCCCCACGTGGCCCTGTCCGGGTGGACACGTACTCACACCTGAGTGTGCAGGAGTCGCCTAGGCCGGGCGGGGCCAGGCACCCGCATGTCTGGGAGCGGCCCCACGCACCCTGAGCCCCGGGGCTTTGGGTCCCCTTTCCCAGCTCCGTCCTGAGCTCCCCACACTCTGGAGCAACCTAGGCTGTGCCTTCCCTGCAAACCACGAACTTCCTCCAAGAGCCACAGTCTTACTCTTCTTTTTTAAGATTTAATTTCTTTTTTAAAGATAGGGAAAGGGAGGGAGAAAGAGATGGAGAGAAAAATCAATTGGTTGCCTCTCACATGAGCCCCAACCAGGGGGACCAGGCCCGCAACCCAGGCATGTGCACCGACCAGGAATCGAACCGGTGACCTTTCGAGTTGTGGAATGATGCTCAACCCACAGAGCCACGCCAGTCGGGGCTGCTCGTCTTTTTAACAGCCCAGTTGCGGCACCATTGCCAGCCCTCACAAGCTCTGACCCAGCCACCGCAGGACACTCGCGGACAGGTCCTTTCTCCCTGACTCCCAGGCAATGGCCCTGTTCCCAGTCACCTCAGCCCTGCCAGGGGGGAGGGGAGGAGTCCAGCTTGGTGAGAAAGGGGCAGAGCTGGGCCACCTGAGCCTTCTGGAAGGACCGCCTCCAACTTCCAAAGGCTTGGGTCCAAAAGGGCCTGCCTCCCCGCCATCACATCTGGCTGTCCCCCAGCCTGTTTGGTGGTGGCTACCCCCAATTTCTGGGTGCCCCCCCTCCTACCAGCCCATGAGGGAGGGCTGCTTGGGAACCAGAGGAGTCATAAAACTAATGGCATCAGTCAGGAGTCTTTGGTCACGGGTGACGGAAAACCACCCACAAAAAGTTATTGGTGCCTCAGCCGAGCGCAGGAGGGCAGGGCGGCCCTAGCTCTCGGGGCTGGGTTGCCTTCCTCGCCCGGCCTCGCCCCGCTCCCACTACACACGCAGCAGCTCGAAACGGCTCAGACTTCCTCTCCCGCACTTCTGTGGGTCAGAAGCCCGCGTTGGCTCAGCTTGGTTTCTCCGCTCAGAATTTCACAAGGTCCACCTCAAGCTGTTGGCCAGCTGCGTTCTCATGGCGAGGCTGGGGCGGAATGCAGTTCCTCGTGGCCCCAGGCCTGACACCCCGTCTCCTCAATGGCTGTTAGCCGGAGGCCGCCCTCTGGTCTCCGGGCCACAAGTGGGTCCCCGTAGCTCAGAACCAGTAAAGGCGGGTCAAACCGCTCTCACACCTGCCATCTCTCTGACTTCCCTTGCACTACCTCTGGGCGGCTCCCAGCCAGAGAAGGTTCTCTGCTTTCAAAGGCTCTTGTCATAGACTGGGTCCACCGGACACTCAGGTCGACCACCCTCCACACCTGCATCCTTTCGGACGGCCACCTAACACAGGCACGGGTCCTGGGGGCGAGGGCGCGGACACCTTCGTGGGAGGGGCGCCGCTTGGCCAACTGCAGGGCCCCTAGAACCGGGCTCCAGGCCTGCTGGCCGGCAGTGTCTGTTTTGCTCCGAGTGTTTCGTCCTCTCCCACTGCAGAGACAGGTGCCGCGGGGCATGTGGTGCCACAGTGCCCCAGGGGGTCCAGAGTCGCATCCTCCAAGCTCCGTGGCCAGACAGCAAAGGAGTGGCCTCTCCTAGTTCCTCTTCGAAACTCCCCGGGCCGAGCCCTGGTGGGCCCAGTGCAGGTCACAGGCCCACCCGTTGTCAGCGTGGGAGGGGCAGGCCCCACCCTGAGAGTAGAGAAGGGAGCGGTGCCGGATACAAAACCCACTTGGGGACCCCTGTCCTGGGCACCGGCTCAGCCACCCACCCCGTGCTCACTGGAATTCTTCAAGGTCAGCTTCACTACTGACCAGTGGTGGGCTGACCTTTCTCTGGGCCTCAGTTGCCTCCTCAGGAAAATGGGAATAATAAAACTCACGCCTGGCCAGGCTACTCAGGCTGCTGGGGAAGCAGACAGGAAGGTATGTGAGAAGAGTCTTTTTTAAAGATTTTATTTATTTTTAGAGAAAGGGGAAGGGAGGGAGAGAAACATCAATGTGTGGTTGCCTCTCACACACCCCTCACCGGGGACCTGGCCTGCAACCCAGGCATGTGCCCTGACTGGGAATCAAACCGGTGACCCTTTGGCTCACAGGCTGGTACTCAATCCACTGAGCCACACCAGCCAGGGCAAGAGTCTTTTTTTTTTTTTTGGTTGCAGAAAGAGAGGAAGGGGGAGAGAGAGAAACATCAGTGGGTTACCTCCCACACGCACCCAGACTGGGGATCAAATCCGCAATCTGCAACCCATGTGTGTGCTCTGACTGGGAATCAAACCTGAGCCCTTTTCGTTTACAGGATGACGCCCCACACAACTGAGCCGCTCCAGCCAGGACGAGAGGCAGATTCTTTGCAGGACCGAGGAGGCCCAGACCCACGCCTGGGAGGGACCTCAGGACTCCGAGCCTCACTGGCCCCTGTGGCTCTGGCCCCTTGGTGGGAGCAGCACCAGGGGAACGGCCCTCCAGTCCGCACTGGTGGGAGCAAGGCTGCCCAGAACGCACCTGGCCAGGCTCCGGCCATGAAAAGGCAGCCATTCAGGGCTGGCTTGGACAGCAGCCGGGTGACGAGAGACAGGAGCCCTGTGCTCTGCAGAGGAAGGGTGGCCTCCCCGTGGGACCGAGCTGCCAGGCTGGGAGGCCAGGCTGGCTCAGCGAGGAGGGGGCGGTGCCGGGGAGGGAAGACTGAGCTAGTGTTTGAGGCCGAGGGGCTGAAAGGCGGCTGTGTGTGCCCAAGTCAGCCGCCAGGCGGGCAAGGATGTGAGTCACTGGTGGCCTGGGGGAGGGGGCAGCCCAGCCGCCCAGGACGAGGGGGCACAATGCCCACTCGAGTGTGAATGCGTGTCAGTGTGACTTGGAATGCGTGTGGTGGGGGTGGGGCCGGGGTCTCGGCCGTCCCAGGCTCCCTGAGGTGGGCATGCCCAGCCGCCCCCTGAATACGGCCGAGGCAGGTCTGCCCCTCCCTGCCAGGGCCTCCTCCAGGCAGCCAGTGCTGGCGGTTCACACGCTGGGCTACTGAATGGACAGACACCGGTGCCTCCCCTCCCCCATCCTGTCAGGGACACAGAAAGGCCTGTCCCTGCTCTGGGTTGTGCGGGTGTGGTAGGACAGGTAGAGGACGGACAGACAGACAGGATGCCGGCCAGGGGAGGGAGCACCTACTCCAAGGATGGGGACATTTGAGGCAGGTTGTGAAAGATGAGTCAGTTCAGAAGAGGAGGGAGTGCATTTGAGCAGGAGGAAGCTGGGACCCTGCTGAATGGGGGGAGAAAGCCAAGGTGGCCAGGGTGGGGGGGCAGCTGTGGGTGGTGGTGAGAGCCTGTGGGCAGTGCCCAGAGGCTCCTGGGGGCCGGGCTGCACCCAGACTGGAGGACCCGGGACAGATCAAGAGGCCAGTCATGGATGCAGGCGGGACCTGCCTGATCCGGAGCCCATTCCCAGGTTTCCAACGGCCAGATGCGCAGGGTCCTGCCAGTAACAGAGGAGCAGCTGCAAGAGGCCCCTCCCACCTGGGAAAGGCCGCCGGCCAGTGTGTGTCTCTGGGTGTGATGTGTCTGGGTGTACACACACACCTCTCACTGGAAATGTGTGTGGGCACATGTGCTTCTTCATGTGTGTGCATGTACCTCGTGTGCCCAAGTGCTTGTCGCTATGAGTGCACGTGTGTGCCTCTCTTGAACATGCATGCTTTTGTGTGAACGTGTCTGTTTAAGACATGTATGTGTCTTATATACACATGTATTATATGTGTTTTACATGTCTCTGAATGTGAGAATGTCTGTGCGTATGTCTGTCCCTGGGTGTGTAAGGGTCTGGGTCTGTGTCACTTGCACACCAGTGTGTGTGTGTCTGCTGTGAGGGTGCATTTGGCTCTTTCTCTCTGTGTGTCTGTGTGAGTGCATTCACCATGCCCTGCCAACAGGAGCCTGGGTGCGGGCAGCCTGTGGGCCTGGGTCCAGGGCCGCACTCAGGCTCACTCCTTCCCTTCCGCCTCGCCTCTCCGCCCCGCGTCTCCCGAGCCTGCCCAGCCGCTGGTTCCTGGGCCTTGTTGAACTCCGCTGCCCAGCTCCAGCCCCACCTGACCAGCTCTCACACCTCAAAGCCACCGGTGGACTTGGCTGTCCCAGATCAGCCAGTGGGAATCCAGGCACAGAAAGGGGGCCAGAGTGCCCCGCCCCTAAAAGAACTCCATCCACCCTCCCCGGGCCAGTCTGGGGCTCCTCCCACCCAGCAGAGAAAGATTTGTCAGGAAAACATGCAGAGACATTTCCCACACAGCTGCCTCCCCTGTCTTCTTCCTGCTAGGGCTCCCAGTCTTGGAAGGTCTGTTTTGGAGGGCAATGTAAGAGTCCAGGGTTCTTGACTGAGCCGAAGGACTGGCCAGCATCTCATTCCCTGCTTTCTTGAAAACAGCAGCTTCCTCTAAGGGTTCTGCCCCTTCCAGGCAGTTCCTGTGGGGCTGCTACTCCCAGGGCCCTTCCACAGCAGGGGACATGTGACTCGGGCCTGGCCAATCAAACTACTCCAGTCCCGCTAGACTTGATCATTGGGCACATGACTAAAGCAAGACCAATGAGAGTCCTTCCCTGGAATTTTATATATGGAGGTTGGAGCGGGGTGGAACCCTTTTCTCCGGGGTCCTCAAGATAGAGTGATGCACCACTGAGGCCTTCTACAAGCCTGCCCTTTCTCCTCCTCCTCACAGCAGAAGCCTGTGGACGTAGGAGAGCCAAGAGGCAGGTGGACTGTGCAGGGGTGTGGGTTGTGGGGAGAGGCCAACAGAGAGCCAAGGACAGGGGTTTCCCATCACACAAACTAATAAATTCCTTTTGCTCAAGCCACTTTGAGGAGGGTCTGTGTCACTGACATCCAGAGGATCCCAGGACATCCCTGCCTCGGCCATGAGTCTGGGTCCCCAGGGGGCACAGGAGTGCCCTAATGCTTCTCCCCGCCCCTCTCGGATGTTCTCAGATCCCACCCTTTCCTGCTCCTTTCAAGCTCCTAAACCCGCCTCTGCTTTCTCAATAGTCCCTTGCTTCACTTGGAAAGTGGGTTCCTCAACCCTCCCCCTCTCTGCCTCCAAGTTCCTCCAGAACTGCCTCCTGACCCTGTGGCCCCTCTCCCCAAGCTCACAGGGGAAGGTGCCCTCCTGCCAGCCCTTGCCCACGGCTGCCCCAGGGAGCTGGAACTGGGGGTTCAGTGCCAGTCGCTCCCCAACCTGCGTGTACATCAGGGTCATCTGGGAAACTGGAAAAACACAATTTCCCAGGTCCCCTCAGATTCCCTGCTGGCAGGCTCTGGAATTCTGATTGAGAATCAGAATTGTGAAGCATCTTACTGGTTAATGCCATGTCAACTTCTTGGTTGTTGGGTCAGCCTTGGCTCAGCCAGGATTTGGCCACACAGGGGCACCTCAGGTCCGTGGCAACAGGTCGTTGTCACTTGTGTTGCATGTATGGGGGCCCTGCAAGGGGCCTCATTTAACTGCCTCCCGGCACCTCTCACCCCTAGTGGTTGGGGCGTCTCTTTGACCCAATCTGCCCTTGGGCGAGGGCACCTCCCAGCCTCCAAACATAACCACCCACACTTTGAAAACCCTGTCCTCCCTGCCCTGTGAGCTCCCCCATCCTCTCCCACCTCTCTGCTAGCTCCTTCTTGGCCTTGTTCTCTTCCTCCTTTGTGTGTTATGCGCCCACCTTGCCTGGGCAGCCCCTCCCAGGGTGCCCTGCAGAATGTGTCTCTGCAGCAGACATGGATGGACCAGGACCAGAGGTCCTCCTCACATGGTATATTATGAGGACATCTATGCTACCCCACTTAAAGCATCTATTAGCAAGAAGCACAAAACAGAACTCCCACCGCCACTGCCCAGGAGCCCTGGAGAGGCCCACTCTCCGTCCTTTGCAGGAAGACTGGCTAACCCTCCAATCAGATCATTGTATGGGGTATGCTGGACCAATGAGAGAGTGTGCCGGGCCCAGGGCCCTGCTCTGCTGGGCTGCCCAGGTGCGGGCACACATCTCCAAGGACACGCCTTGTACTAAAGAGAGATGGCATCTGACACTCCAGGGCTAATCAGTAGACCCTGAGGTGCACGGGTAGCCCACTGCACTTGAAGCACTGGCCGCAGCAGCCCCTGGAGTGCAGACTTGACCCAGGGTCTTTAGAAACTAAGGTGATCCCTGGCTGGTGTAGCTCAGTGGACTGAGTGCCGGCCTGCAAACTGAAAGGTCACTGGTTCGATTCCCAGTCAGGGCCAGGTCCCCAGCTGGGGGCTTGCAAGAGGCAACTGGGTATCTCTCTCACACTGATGTTCCTCTCCCTTTCTCTCTCCCTTCCTCACTCTCTAAAAGTAAATAAATAAAAATCCTCATTTAAAGTTAATTAATTTTATTTTTATTTAAAATAATTAATCTTAAATAAAATTAATTTTATTTTTACTTAAATGAATAAAAATGCAGTGAAGCAAGATTGCAGTCCAGCTCTCTGGGTGCCCCCAAGTCAGCCTCACACTGTCCAGTTAAGAGTTGACTCAGGTGTGCACTGAGCGGGAAGGAGGGCAAAGGGGGGAAAACTGGGACCACTGTAATAGAATAAATAAGAATAAAAACAAAAAAAGGAAAACCATTTTTGCATCCACAGGTGACAGATGATAACTGAACCTGCTGTGGTGATCGTTTCACACAGAAGCTGAGTCATTGCTCTGTGCTGGAGGTCAGGTGTATCTCACTGAAAGTGAAAGAGAAAAGAGAGTTGACCTAGGGCGAACCCTGGTCCGTCAGCTGTCTCCCCACATCCAAGGGCAAGGCAGGTCCCCGGGCCCAGGTGAGCCTCATGGTCATTGCATCAAACCAGCAGGGTCTGGATCCTTCTATCTGACTGTGGAGTGTGGGCCGGAGGCTGAGGAAGGGAAGAGAGATGGGTAAAGGGGACAGGGAGAGGAGGTGGGGTGCGGGGGCGGGAGAGAGGGGAAGGAGTGGAAGAGGGAGGGGGGCTTCTTGGGCTTCTCCAGCAGCTGGCCTCCCTGAGTTTCCTTTTCCAGGGCAGAACCTCAGCCTGAGGGGAGCAGAGGCCCCAGTGACAGGGACACCTACCCCACTTCCTCTACTGCTCAGGACTCAGGACTCCAGCCAAGTAGCTCCTCCCATCCCTGCCCCACCAGGGCTACAGACAGACCAACCCCCCCTTCAAACCCCCCCCCCACACACACACCCGGTCTCCTGGTTCTGCAGCTTCCACATGCCCTTCTGCCAGGACCGTGGGGTGGGGCGGTTTCCATCCACGGGATGACCTCCACTTTCCCAGGGGCCCTGCTCCACCACCCCAGCTGTGGCCTGAGACAACTGCAGGCATCTCCTAGGGCTCTGCCCAGAGACGAGGGCCAAGGGAGGGGCAGGGGCCAGTGACGTGAGTCTGAACTGAAAGGCACAGACTGGACGGCCGGCTGGGGGGCCCGGCCCACTGATAGGGAAAGTTGACCAGGGCCTCACCGGTCACACACACCCTCTCCCACCCACCACGCAGGGGCTGAGTCTTTCATTGTCCTCCATGCCCACTCTGAGTCCCACCTAGACACACGAAGTGACCCCACGATGACAAACTTCCTCTCAGTGAATCAGATTCCACTGGCAAACGCCCAGTTGACCTTGGGTGCCCCCCACTCCCGACCTCCTTGAGCCCTGGTGGGCTCTGGGGCCTGGTGGGTTGGGTTATCAATAGTAACAATAATAATATTAATAACAGCTAGCCTGTCATGATGCCACCATGTAGGAGAGACTCATCTGCCTGCTTTACATGTGTCATCTCATGTAGCTGCTCACAGGAAACTGAGTCTCAAGGGAGTAAGCCACCCGCCCCTAGTGACAGCCAAGAAATACAAAGCCCTCCCCTCTGGTCCTCAAACCTGGACTCCAAACCTCTTCCTCAGGAGCAGCTGTGTCTGCCCCTCAGCAGCACCCAAGGCAACCCCACAGCTTCCGGTGGTGAAAGGTCAGTGCCGAGACTGGGTGGTCCTGTCCCCAGCCTACCCCTGGCCCTCCCTCAAGGTCACACTGACGAGTGAACGTGGAGAACGCAGAAAACTGGGCTGTGGGGCGAATTCCCCAGAGCCCCGTGGGATGGGGGTGGTCAGTCAGGCTCTGAGTGGTCCTCGGTGGCGGGCAGGTCCTGCTCTGGTCCCCGGAACGCCGCTGGGCCCAGGGTTATCTTGTGGGATTCCTCCAGGAAGGCCCTTCACATGCTTTGATTGGAGTTTATAGCACTCAGGAGAGTTCCACTGCACCCTGGAGTTTTCCCTCTCTAAAGCGTCTTTGAGCCTTATGACAAAGGCTGAACCGGTATCAGAGTTTTGAGGGCCCAGCTTGAAAGCCACTCCCTGTCACTGCTGTCCCTGAGAGGCAGTCCCAGAGTCCGGCTCCCTGGCCAGGCAGGCGCCCTGGGTCTGCTTACTGATCCTTGGGCCTGGCGGCTGGGCTTTCCCCTCCTGGCACCTGTATTTGCTCCTTTGAGTGGGAATAATGACAGCACATGCCTTTAGGACTAAACGAGTATGCCCTGGAGCAGCCTAGAACTGTGATTGGCGTATTGAAAATGCTTGATGAGTGTTAGGGTTATTTCCTGGGCTGTGAAATGCTTCTGTTTCAATTCTACGGGCATTTTTGAGGTCCCAGTGTATGCTCCATGATGGGACCTCAACCCGGAACAGGGCTAGAAGGGACATCTAGGGGAAGGCGGGGCAGTTGAAGTGTTTACTTGGTAGACGATTCTGGAAGTCACCTGGATGGGAACACTCATCACCCCAGACCCCGCTGAACCGGGAATGCTCCTCCGAGTCTCTCTAGGGCAGCCCACCCCCTAGGAACTGGGTCTGGCACACACAGATTAATAAAGACTTGGGGACAAAAAGGGTTTTGAGTGAAATATTTGTTGATGGATGAAAAGAAAGAGAGCCAGGCCAGGCAGACAGGCCTTCCCTTGATAGTGAGGGGGAGCTCCCCGAGCGGGGAGGGGCCCCAGACGTGGAGAGGGCCACTGCTTGGGGTTACAGAGAAGGCTCCTGAACCCCAGTCTGCTTCTGCCTCCCCCACCAAGGAAAGGTTCGAATGGGACCATAGGGAATGCCCCGCCCCCCTCCACACACCCGCCTGGCGGAGGTTGGAGGTGGATGGTGCCCGGTCCCTAAGCATCCAAATGGGCTCCACCGGGGAAACTGCATACCCGAGAGCGAAAGTCCCATCTCGGCCACCCCTGCGTGGAAAGGGCGACCTCGGGTGGCTCTAGAGCCTCGGGTTCCGCCTCCGAGAAATGGGCGATTTCCTCCCGGCCGCAGCGCGGCGGGCTCCGCAGACGGCCCTGACCGAGGGCGGGGGACACCGAAGGGGTTAACGCACCTGGGCCACCACCGCCCCTCCCGGCCCCTCCCCCCGACGCTGGGAAGAGAAGTCTCCGCGGGGGCGCGGCCCTGCCTCGGCCCCTGCCCGCCCCGTCCCTGTCTCGCCTGCCTTGCCCGAGCGCACGCCCCGAGCAGCGACCCGCGCGCTCCGCTCCTCCGCCGCCCCGGCCAGGGCCGCCATGTCTTTAGGGTGAGTGGGGGCTCGCGGGCCGTCGGGCTGGGGGGCCTGGGATGGGGCCGGGAAACCCCGAGCTTCACTTCCCCCGGAGGCTGGGGGTGCGGCACAGCTCGCCGGGCGTCTCCGGGCGTGGGAGATGCCGCGCTGGGTGACCGGGGCTGGCCACAGTTTCCCCGGGACAGATGGGCTCGCGCTGTGGTGGCTGGAGATGCCCGGCAGTGCTCGGCGCCCCGACCCGCTGGGTGGCGGCGGCGGACTGCAGAGCGCCGAGCCCGTGCGCCCAGCCCTCCCCGCGGTCCCAGATCCCTCAAATCCCACAACGTGAGCTAGGCACTCAAGGTCTCGCCGGCAGCTGGGTTCCTGTCTCCATTCCCAGGGCCTCCTGCGTCCTGGGCGATCCTGTCCCCTACCCCCAGTGGCTCTCCTTCCTTCCTGGGGTGGAGGGGCCTCGCCACCTCCCCCTCCCCTGTGGTGACGCCACTAGACTCTGGCCTCCCCTGCTAGGGTGTGTGTGGGGGGGGGGGCTTCCCTGAAACCCCCTGGGCAGGAGAACTGAGCACTCTGCTCCCCAGCTCTCCGAGTGTGGGTCTTAGGTCACACGCAGCCCCTCCCCACCAACCCCCCCCTACCTGAGGTGACCCGGCCTTCCTGCAACCCCATGCACAGGAAACCTCCGCACCCCGTGGGAAAGTGGGACTCCCACGGCCTCAACCTTCCCCTTCCCTGGGTGTCTGCTCCTCCAGCCAGCCAGTCCTGGGGCCACCAGCTTCTCAGCAGGGCGCCCAACTTGCCACATTGCAATCTGCCTCCTCCCGGGGCCCAGCACCACCTCCCCACTTGGAGTTCAGGGACATCGCCCCACTGGCCTGGCCCTGTAAGGCCACACTTCCCTGGCCTGCCCTCTCTCTGGAGCCTTTAGCCCCTGTGTCTCCACAGGAAAGACCAGAGCAGGTGGCCTGGCCACCTCCAAAACTTGAGCTTGAAGAGAAAGGGTCCCAGGGTCCAGGGCTGCCAGCCCTCCCGGCAAAAAACCCTCTAATTTCTGCTTCTGAAGTGGGTATGATAGGGGTTCCCTGGGCAAGCAGCATCCCTGGAAGGGAAGGTCCAAATACATTCCCCTCCTGGGGCAGTGGAACATCTCACCCAGTGCCATGTTTAGGCAGGGGGCAGGCTGGGGGCTCAGGGGACAGTGGTCACACTAGAAGACGCCCTGGGCTGTTTTATTTTATATAGGTCTGATGAATGGGGTGGAGGGAAGAGGGACAGATTTCTTCAGGTCCCAAGTTAGAGCCTGCTCCCCAAGTCCCCACACCGGACGGCGCTTTCCTGCCGCAGAGCAGGTCCTGTCTCTGCCTCTCCCACTGGTTCACCTGAATGGTTCACCCCAGTGCCTCACAGGGTCTGCACAGGAAATGAAAGCAAAAGGGGTGCCTCGCTGGGGGCGGAGAGCAGGGCAGAGGGCCGGCTTCGTGCCATGGAAGAAGAAATCATGGTTTGGAGAGGTTAAGGGAACCCCCTTGAAGTCACTTAGCTTGTAGGTGGCAGGCCAGCCTGCCTCCCCAGCACTGGACAGGGCCCCGCTGTGTGGGGAGGAGGATGGGAGAGGAAGCAGAACCCTGTTCTGACTGCTTGGGGCGCTGGGACTAGACTTAGCAGCTAGAGATGCTGGGAGGGTCACAGGGACTCATCTGTATGTCCTCTGTGTCCTGCCCCCCCCACCCCCAGGAAGAGAATTATCTACAAGAGTGTGTGCCTGTCCCTGGCCTTGCTCGTGGCCGTGGCCGTGTTCCAGCGCAGTCTGACCCCCAGCCAGTTTCTACAAGAGCCCCCGCCACCCACCTTAGGGCCGCAGGAGGCCCGGAAACCAAGCGCACACCTGGCGAACCCCAATGACTTCTGGAAAAGATCAAAGGATTTGGTCACCCCCGTGTCCATGGCCTCACGGGTACCTCAGGCCTGGGACGTGACCACGACGAACTGCTCGGCCAATGTCAACCTGACCCACCAGTCCTGGTTCCAAGGCCTGGAGCCACACTTCCAGCAGTTCCTCCTGTATCGCCACTGCCGGTACTTCCCCATGCTGCTGAACCACCCGGAGAAGTGCCACGGCGATGTCTACCTGCTGGTGGTCGTCAAGTCGGTCATCACGCAGCACGACCGCCGGGAGGCCATCCGCCAGACCTGGGGCCTGGAGCAGGAGTCTGTGGGCAGGGGCCTTGGCGCCAGGCGCACCCTCTTCCTGCTGGGCACAGCCTCCAAGCAGGAGGAGCGCGTCCACTACCAGCAGCTGCTGGCCTACGAGGACCGTCTCTATGGTGACATCCTGCAGTGGGACTTTCTCGACAGCTTCTTCAACCTGACCCTCAAGGAGATCCACTTCCTCAAGTGGCTTGACATCTACTGCCCCCACGTCCGCTTCGTCTTCAAGGGTGACGACGACGTCTTTGTCAACCCCACCAACCTGCTGGAGTTCCTGGCTGACCAGCAGCCGCAGGAAGACCTGTTCGTGGGTGACGTCCTCCAGCACGCTCGGCCCATCCGCAGGAAGGACAACAAGTACTACATCCCCGGGGCTCTGTACAGCAAGGCCAGCTACCCTCCCTACGCCGGTGGAGGCGGCTTCCTGATGGCCGGAGGCCTGGCCCGGCGCCTGCACCACGCCTGCGACACCGTGGAGCTTTACCCCATCGACGACGTCTTCCTGGGCATGTGCCTGGAGGTGTTGGGTGTGTATCCCGTGGCCCACGAGGGCTTCAAGACTTTCGGCATCTCCCGGAACCGCAACAGCCGCATGAACAAGGAGCCGTGCTTTTTTCGTTCCATGCTGGTCGTGCACAAGCTGCTGCCCGCCGAGCTGCTGGCCATGTGGGGGCTGGTGCACGGCAACCTCACCTGCTCCCGCAAGCTCCAGGTGCTCTGACCGGGCCAGGCCCCCGGTGTCGGCTGGAGCTGCGCGATGCCAGGGCAGACAGAGCTGGGCCTCGGGTGCTCCTGGGTGTGGCCAGGCACAGGTAGCTGGAGGGGCCTCCCTGTGTGGATGCTCCAGAAAGTGGAGCTGCGGCCCAGGAGCGTTTGGAAGTGCCCAGACTGGAGAAGGTCATCTGGGGCGCGAAGCTGCTGGCAGCCCTGCCAAGCTGGGTTCATGGCCTCGCTCCCTCTGACCTGGTGGGAGGCCCTGGCGGCCTCTGAAGGAATCCCGTGCTCAGGTACCTGGGCTAGGCCAGGCCCTGGATGGCTCTGTGGCTGTCCTCTATCTTCACAGAACACTCTCCCGAGAAACGCCTCAATCTCCCCACAGGCCCAAGTGGCCCTTTCAGGAGAAGCTCCACCCTGTGCAGGCTCACAGGCCCCCCAGTCTGCGCCCCTGGGTCTCTTGGAGACAGGGCTCCAGAGCACCCTCCCCCACCTCCCCCTCCCCCCAGGGAGCTGGCTGCTCAGCCTCCATAGTTCCCAGGTGGCTTCGGTCCTGGCCGCACCCTGGGCTGTTCCATCTAGCCCGACTAGAAACGCAAGCTGCCGCTCTTACTACCTCAGCGACCCTCAGAACCTCTGGATGGACAGCGGCCCCCCACCTCACCCCCTGACGCAGGGCCAGAGAGCAGCGTCCTACAACGAAGCCACGGTGCTGCCCAACCAGCCCCAGCCCAGGGCCCTTGGGCGGCCCCACTGCGGCCTGGCTCCCTGGCCGGAAACCAGCCAGTTTGGCCCTGGAAGTGAACATACCTCTGTTATTATAAAGTTTTATTTATAAAGGATTTGGAGGGAGGAGGCGCCAGGCCCCGGGAAATGGCAGTGTTCTTCCCTTCACTCATCCCAGCAGAACATCTCCTCCATGGGCCCCCCTGAGCCGCCCACGCGGCCCCTCCAGAACCGGCTGCTCCAGGACCAAGCAGACCGGCATCTGCCCCTGCAGAGGCATGGCGTGTCCCATGTGGGCCGCCCCTCCCAGCTTCGGGGGTCCTTAGGGGTGGGTGCCAGAGGACGCCACCTCATATCTCTGGGTAAAGTCACCTGGGAAAACATTGAGGAACTGTTTTCTCAATAAAAGGGGACTGGTTTCCTTCTGGTGTGAAAGTTCCTGTTCCCATTTCCGTCAGAGGGCTTGTCTGGGGCCAAGTTCGCCAGAGATCTCAGAAAACACAGCTCGGTCCTTGTTCTCAGCCAGTGGGTACAAGGGACCCCTTGAAGGGGTCCCTTAGAGGGGGGTGAGTGCCAGGATTAAGCAGAGGTGCCAAGAGAGACAGTCCCTGGACTGGGGGCGGGGCCGTGGGGGAGCTCCCAGCTCACTGTGCATTCCCACAGGGGGCAAGGCCTGAGCGGACCCTGGGGCCGCTGCTGCAGGGGGTGGGGTAGAGGGGCATGCAGGGGCTGGTGGGCTTCCCCAGCCCCCACCGTGGCCTTTCAGTCAACCTAGACCCATTGATGAGTTTGACAAAAAAACATGGAAACTGGGGAGGGGCTTGGTGCTGGGGGAACACCGTGGTGCAGGGCATCTCGGCCTCCCCAGGAGAAGAACCACTGGGGCCGTAGGCAGCAAACACGCATCTCCCTGCCGGTGCCCAGCTCGGGCATCAGAGTGGGCCGGGTGCCTGAGAAAGATGCCCAGGGCCCTCCTCTGAGTGGGTGATGGGAATGGCTGGATCCTAACCTGACACAACGTCCTAGAGAATAGACAAGGCGCAAGACCAAATGGACATCCACCGTGGCCCCCGCTGCCCTTGGAGAAGAAAAAGGAACGTCGCCACAGCTATTTCCTCCTCCCTCAGCACAGACCCCCACACTTCCCTTCTAGGTTGGCTGGCCACAAAATTCGTGGGCCCCTGGTTCTAAAGCGTTAACGTTTTCAAGATCACCCGGTAGAGAGTTAAGCCAAACAGGGCCTCCCGAGGTGGGGCCTGTGACTGCACAGGCCCAGTTTGTTCATCACTCGCCCTCTGGGCCTGAGCCCGGTGGCTGGCAGAGGGGAGGGGGGCTGGCCAGGCCTCAGAAGGCAGAAAGGTGCTCCTCAGAGGCTGGGGCTGGGGGTGAAGAGCCCATCACAGGGTTGAGCTGCAGGAGGATGTTCAGGCTGGACCCTGAGAGCAGGGGCAAGTGGCAAAGGCCTCGCCTGTGGGCCCTCTCCCCTGGGCCAATCCATCTGGTCCCACGGATGGGAACTTCCTCAGCCTCTGCCCTTTGGGGGGCCTTGCTCTTGACATTTCAGACCTAAGGAACCCTCACCTAGGCTGCAGAGCCAGCGCAGCACCACGGAAGGAAGGAAACAATCAAGGCAGAGGGCGCACCGCACCCCCTCCCCACCTGACAGTTTCCCTGCCTCTCAAAGGAAGAGTGGGCACTTGCCTTATGATGGAGGAGGCTGGAGCGACAGGCCAGGCCTAGAAGTTAGGGTGCCTCCTGCAGGCGTAGAGGAGCCACTGCAGCTTCCAAAGCAGGGGAGAAACAAGATCTGATGGGACCCTAGAAACCTGTCCACACCTGCAATCCCCCATTGGGGCCCACGAGGAGGCAGCTGGTCCCAAGGCCAGGCCATTGCTGTCCCCCAGCTCCTCTGTCCCCTTAACAGGAAGGGGGCTCCATGAAACAAGAGGCTAATGACAGAGAACTGCCGGTCACTGCCCACCCTGACCCTGACCTTCAGCCGGCCTGTCCAGACTGCCCAGCTGACTGTAGCCTTCAGCTGGCCCCTGGCCTGGCTCTCAGCAAGCTGACCCTGGTTTCCTCCGGCCGGTCGCCTGGGAGTGCAGCCCGGATACCTCCAGAGACAGCCCTGGCCTTTCCAAGGTTAATTGACAATCATATTGGGCAACAGATACAAAGGGCATTCTGGAAGTTTCCAGAACCATCAGTATTTACAATCTTGATTGCCAGTAATCATGATAATTACTGCCATTTGGTGGAGTACATTCAATATACCTGGCTCTACAATAAGCCCTTAATGAGTACAATCAAAATAACCGCATCTCAGGGAATAAATCTGACTGGCTGCATTTTAATCTCTCGTGTACACATAATGTACTGGCAGAAAATGAAGGGGGGTAGAATATGACACCCCAAAATTTGCCTCTTTGGCAGAAGGCTTATCTTGAGCTGGTTATTTTTTATTTTTATTTTTTTGAAAAACAGCCAAAGAGAAGCTCTGAAAACTAAGTAGAAGGTACTCTTTTGTGAGGGATATTTACATTTAGAAAGGAAGTCTCCATTTCACCCGGAAGAGAAGGATGGCTCTTTCTCACCAGAAACTCCGATCAGTGAGGCAGGCAGTGACTTCACAATCTTTCACTCTTTTACTGGCCTTTTCCTGATAACCTCTCATGATTGCCCCCCCCCCCCCCCCCGCCAACATCTTTATTTTCTTTTCAGCTGATATTGAAGGTGGTGAGGTGGTGACCCGGGTCATTTCCGGGAGTTTCTCGGTTTTCCTGGGCACCCCCCATGCATGCACGAGGTGTGCATGTCATTTAACTTAGGGGTTTTTTTCTAGTCAACCCTTTATTATGGGGGGGGGGCGGTCCGGTTAAGAACCCAGAGGGGTAGAGATAAAATTATTTTCCTCCTTGTTAAACCCGACCTCTCCCTCTTGGAGCCCACTCACTCCCAAATTGTCTGCAGTCTCCAGGGTTCCCCTAAACCCAAACAGCGCGTGTTCGGAGAGTCTGAGCGGGACTCTTCAGGGACCCTCTCCCTCCACACGGTGGCGCTGTGGAGCCCGCACAGCCCTGTAGCTTTTTAGGGCCACCCGTGGCCCAGGCTGCAGGAACACGAGCTTCAGACATGAAAGCGGCCCTCCTCCTAATCACCCTCACCGGCTCAGCTGTCCTTCCCCCGAGAGCAGCAGCGAGAGGGGGTTGCTACGGCCAGGGGCTCCCAGTCACAGGAGAGCCCTGCAAACCCTCTCGGGCTGTCCCTGTGCAGCAACTTTCCAGGCCTTTCCTCACAGTAAATTTTGGTCAGTCCGGACCCTGAATGTGGGGAAGTGGGTCTCAAGGTCTTTCCTCTCCCAAGGCCCTGGGCTTCGGATCCAAAACGCCTCCCCTCCTCCCTGGTCGCCAGCGCTGCATTCCAAGGGGCCTCGAGAAGGGGCGGCTTTGTCAGGCCACAAAAGCTTCTGTTCCACCCCAGGGCAACGGGTGCCCTCCCGGCCGCATTTACATAACTAAAGGAGACCACTCCAAGGGCCCTGCCCTTAACAAAGAAGCCGGGTCCCAGGTGACTGCCTCTGTCCACCTGCGCTGTGGAGCAGGGAGGGGGGACTCCTAGAACCCCATTGTGCGCCACGGTCAAGTCTGGAAATGAAGGCTGCTAAGAAAGTGGTCCCCGGTCATTCAGTGCACCACCTGAATTCGGGTGTGTGCGCCAAACCCGCTCTGTCCCAAGAGCTTCCCCTCCTCCCTTTTTCCTTAGTAGTAACTTCCATTGATGTGTGATGCTTGACTGGATAGTTAGTATTTTTGTCCCGCAGAGCTCCCGTGGACTTCGTGCCCCCCCCGTGGAAAAACCCATTTTGCCCCCTTTTGAAATTCCTTCATCCCTCTGAATGTGGACGCTGCCATCTGCTGTGACCCGCTTACAGCAGCTGCTTGCCCTCGCGTGAACAGAGTGCCTTAACCTCGTGTTCATTATGCATTTACCTTTTCCTAAAAAGTAGCTTTTAGCGATTTCTTTTATATTAAAGTGCACACAGACACGTGAGGGAATAGAATGCCACTTTTGCATATAACTCTAGGACGGAACTTGCACCTTGGGATAAAATTCACATCTTCCAGCTGAGCCTGGAGCGCCGCGCTTTCCGAAGGGGCTCAGACCTGCTACTCGTCCGAAAAAGGCCCGGAGGAAGTTCTAAAACAACGTTTGCGTCCAGGTCTCTGCGCAGTCGGGTTCCACGGGGTCGGGGTGGGCGCGAGCCTCAGCGGCTGCCCAGGTGACTCGGGCGCGCGGACTGGCCACCGCGGAATTAACCCGGTGCGGCCGAATCTAAGAGGAACGCCAGGAATTCCTGCCCGGCCTGGAGGCTCAAAACGGCTGGGCAGAAAGTAGCTGCGGGAAGGCGCGGGTGTTGGAGGGCGGGCAGCCCAGCGCGCCACCTAGCGGCCTTCGCTGTACCGTTGGCTTTAGCGTGGGCAGTCGCGCTCCGCCGTCCCGGGGGGGAGGGGGGTTCGCGGGTGCTGGGCGCCACTGGCTCCCAGAGGCCTGGAAAGGAGTGAGCGTCGCAGCTCCGCGGGGTCCGCACTCCCAAGCGCGACATCTGACCACCGGACCTACCTGCAGGCCCTGGCCGCTTGGTCCTGGGGGGCGCGAAGCGGCTCGCTGACCCCTCCGGACCGCCTCCCGTAGCGGCGCGCGAGCAGGCGGGGCCCGGGCCCCAGCAAAGGTACGGGTGCCGGGCAGGGAGGAGTCCCCGGAGCTGTGCAACCCCAGGAGAAGGCGTGGAGCGCCCCCAACTGACCACGTAGGAGAACGTGACAGTAGAACGATTTGAGCTGGTTACGTGACATCTGTAACTGGTATCCCGAGTCATCCGCTTTAACTAAGGGCCTGGGTGTCTCTAATGCCGTACAACGTGCCCTGACCGTTACGGCTCAGTCGGTTGAAGGTCGCCGGGCAAAGCAAAAGGTCACCCATGGGAGCCCTAGTCAGGGCACACGTGACTGATGTTTCTCCTTTTCTTCCACCCTTCCCTTCTCTCTAAAAATAAATCAATAACATTGTTTAAGAAATACTGGAAAACTCCACATCAGACTTGCACAGGAATTGTTTCCTGGAAGTGGGATTCCCTGCAACTTTGCCCTTTTCTTTCTTCTCATTTGTGTAAGAAAGGCTTTCTTTTAAAAATTTATTCATTATGCTATTACAGTTGTCCCATTCCCCCCTTTATTCCCCTCCACCCTGCACCCCCCTCCCACCCACCTTCCCCTCCACCTAGTTCATGTCCATGGGTCGTACATGTAAGTTCTTTGGCTTCTCCATTTTCTATCCTATTCCCAACCTCCCCCTATTTTGTATCTGCCATTTATTCTTTGTTCCTTTCCCTCATTCCCCGCTTCCCCTCCCCACTGATAACCCTCCATGTGATCTCCATTTCTGTGATTCTGTTCCTGTTCTAGTTGT